GAAGTTGAGCGGACTTGTGTAAAGTTCATTCTTTAAAAGTTTTGTGAATCTAGGCCAGTCAGCCTTCTTGAAGTTCCATGATAGCTTAGTTGGCACTTTCCTTGACATGCTTTTGGTGACGATGGTAATACTAGCAATGACTGGTTTGTGACCAGAACCAGAATCTTCAATTATTTTGCGGTATGTATTCTCACTGATGTCGCTTGAAGCCAAGAGTAAATCAGGAGTTGGAATTTTCTTTTACTAATATAACGTATATCATGCGGTCACTTAAATGAAAATCACATACAAACAGCTTCAAGCGAAAACACCCTTAACCCTCATAATGCCTTTGAGGGTCAAAGCTTTATTAGTTGACAATTCGGCAGCCTATTAATTTCTAGGATACACTCCCAAGACTGAATGTCACACACTTAAAACACCGCTGCCACCAAATATTATGCTCCCAAAATCATAATTTGAAGTATAATGTACCATTTGATATTGTTAATATTAGTCAAAATTGTAAGCTTATTTTTATAGTCCAATCGTTTTTACAACAACGAAGCATCGATTCAAAATTTAGCCATTTGAACCAAAAAAGAGGGAAGTGAGTATATTATTAATTATTTGATATTTTGTTTTACTTAAATGAATAAGCGGTGGTATTACATTCTTTATATGCTTCAGAATTCCCTTCGTTGTTGGATTTTCTTTTGTAAATACAATAAGGAAATTTATAGTATTAATAATAAAACATTACTTCGGATGACAGGCTTTATGATATTTATCATTGACTTTTTAGTTGATCTCAGATTTCCTCATGTGTAAACAGGCCATTTATATTAGTTCATTATTTGTCTTCTATCATCCCAGCATCTCAGCGTTTTCGTTATAGCTGGCCTAATAGCGAACATAAAATGAAATCCTTCCAAATGTTTGAATTATTAATTAATAATATAAATAAATAGAAGCAAAGCAATCAGATATACATTTGATTAAGTAAGTCAGTTTTAGATGCCATGTCAATAATTATTAAAACTTAAACGAATACATAATTCCAAATTGGGATATTGTAATAAAAATTGAGTTTTGTTACACATTATTTTACTTAATTTGCTTGTTATGGATTGAGGCATAGCAGTTGAAAACATTGTTAAGCTGAGAGGGAAGAAAGATTCGACCTTCCATGTGGTCATTGGAATGAAAATCACTTGCAAACAACTTCAAGCGAAACCATCATTTACAGTCTTAATGCCTTTGAGTGACAGCACTTTATTGCGTGAATATTCGGCAGCCGATTAATTTCAAGGCTGCACTCTCGAGACTGAATTAAATGCTTTAAAATACCCCTGCAACCAAAAATTGTGCTTCCAAAATCCTAACTTGAAGTATAATCTGCCATTTGATTTAGCCAATATTATTCAAAATAGTAGCCTTATTTTTATAGTCTAATCAATTTTCCAACACCCAAGCATCGATTCAAAATTTAGGCATTTGAACCAAAGAAGATGGAAATGGATATATTTTTAATTATTTGATATTTAGTTATACTTAAATGAATAAGTAGTGGTAGTGAATTTTACGTATCCATCGGAATATCCTTCGTTGTTGGATTTGGATTTGTAAATGCAATAAGAAAATTTAAGATCATAATGACGAAACGAAAAAATAAAATTATAATTTCTTATTTGATTTCAGATTTCCCCATGTGTTATAGTTCATTTATAGTAGTTTATTAGTTATATTCTGTCTGGAAATTATCTCTGCGTTTTCGTCATTATCTTTATAGCTGGACAAATAGCAAACATTAAATGAAATCCTTCAAACAAGTTAGAATCATTTATGAGTAATACAAATAAATAGAAACCAAGCATTCAAAGATAAATGTGATTAAGAAAATCAGTTTTAGATGTCAGGTCAATAATTCCCAAAACGTGATCAATTAAATTTCCAAATAGGAATATTGTATTGAAAATTGTGCTTTATTACACAATATGTTGTAGGACACATTATTCCATAATCTAATACTTAAACTTGCGGCTGTATAAATTTCCGCGCAAACAACAATAATACTAGTGACCAATCAGAAGCCGCCAAGTGTTTATAACTAAGCAGCCATGATGAATAAAACTAAACTGTTTATAAATATACTTTTCTTATCATTTTGTGACTAAATATATATGTGTCCTGTTTTATACGTCTGTTTTCTCTATAGCTGGGCTCTAGCTTAGCTAGTTCTGGGAGTCTAGATAGATGTTGGAGATTCTGCCACAGAGATTTCTGAGTAGCCAGGCTTTATAAATTTAGCGATCCGCCACAATCTCACTTAATTTGCTTCGTGTTTACGGAGGCATTTATGAGTTTCGAGCTGCCTTAAGTATCTTTGACAACCCAATACCATTACTCCTCATTTTATTTTAGCTGCATAGAGGGCTATCCAATATTCATAGCATCACTTCACGATACAATAAACTATTTTCCTCAGACGAAATAATAATTTCATGTTAAGTCTTCTTGCTCGATTTATATAGAGGTTTATTGAATAGAATGCTAGCTATGTTAATTAAAGTGGACTAGGTTTGGCGGTGGGAATTATTTCGTAAGAAAAGAAGTGAAGCTCTTGCAGCGACAACGAGACCTCATGTTCGTCCTTCTCGTGGATGGGCCATCACTCTCATCTAACCGATGTTGAATCGTCCTACTCCTCCTCCTCCACCCCCTCTACCTATGTGCGTCAGTAACTGATGCTGCCAACATTGGTGGGTGTAACTCTGTTGCACATTGAAGACTGAGACATGTGCACACGTCGAATTAGTGGCTGGGCAACTTTGATCCAAATAAACAAAAAGATCTCATCTTTACATGTCATGCGACCCGACATTTATCAGTCATTTATTGACACTGTTCGAAAAACAGCGCTTTTTGTGGACAAAGTTGAGCAATCTTTCAATTTTTGCACCTTTTTATAAATTCTTGCCAATATGAAATTCCTACCACTACTTATTTAGTTAAGTATATAAGATTATCAATCAATATAAAGTTAACCTAATCCCATCTTTTTTGATTCAAATGTCCAAATTTTTAAGCGACGCCTGCGTGTTGGAAAACAGATAAAGCTATTAAAAAAGCTTACTATTTTGCAAATATTGACTGCCTCAAGTAGCACATTATACTTCAAGTGAGGTTTAGAGATCATACTATTTGGTGGCAGGGGTGTTTTAAATCATCTGATGCAGTCTCAGGAGTGTAGCCTTAAAATTAATCGGCTGCCGAATAAAAATGAATATAGTGTTGCATTCAAAAGCCTTATGAGAGTTAAAATGCTTCGGCTTGAAGCTATATGAATGTGCTTTTCATCTCAATGACCACATTTAATGCGTTACAAAAGTGGTAGGTAATTTAAACTTCATATTTCAAAGTCATTTCCTGAATAATCATTTATTCCATTTGACATGAGTCCTTAAGTTCAAGCTTGAAAATAATCATTTGCACACAAATAAGATTTTTAACTTTGTTTGAAAGTGAACAAATTAAGTTGAATCATTTAATTTAATTAAAATGACCTTAGCCAGTCTATGTGCCTATCATTACATTAGAACACTAATTCCAAAGTTTAAAGGATGCGGATATAGTAATATCCAGGGCTACGCCATTGAAGCTTGAAAACAATTCATTTCAGCTTTTATTTCGATCTATTGATTATTATTATAAATTTTCCCTGTTAATTTAAACTTAAAAATGATTTCCACAAATCAGTTTCATTCATTTATGGAAATTAAAGCAGAAACTCGAAACTTACTACTTTCCGTATTAAACCTCCAACAATTATCTTACTGCATAACCATTTAAGAAAAATGTATTCATTCGCGGATAGTTGTATATAAACAATATGCATTTATTCCATGAAGTTTTAGGACATTAAAGCAATAATACACGAAAAGATAAAAAAATATAAATAATTTTAAACAAACCTTAAAATCGAAATCATTCTGAATATCTAATTTAAGTTCAGGCACGCAATTTCAAAACTGATTTTTTGCCTAATCTCATAGTATTCCTTCTCTAATTAAATTCTCTTTCTTGAATTCTTTCCTTTGTTTGGATGCTAAAATCCTCAAAAAACAATTTTACCTTAATTTGTTTTTATTTATAATCCACGCGGGTTGTGCGATAGACTTACTTCTACGTGGCGCGCCCTGAGGTAAGTATACTCATACGGCATAAAAAGTCTATTAACCGGAAATTGACTTCAAACTACCATGACCTCGCTGTATGTCATATTTGTTTACTTCCACATTACTCGCCTCATATTTTTACACCTTTGTGTCTACCTCTTTTACATCTTTGAAACAATCTTCTTTACCACCTTCCTCTCGAATTTTTCACTCTGATGCTCCTTCCCCTCTGCGGAGCCGGAAGTCCACTAAAGGGGTAATGATGACTATCAAAACACCTGCCATATGATATAAATAAAATATATTCCACGCAAACTAATTGTTCACAGTTTACCTTTAATGCTTTGAGCTCATACAACATTAACTTTGATTTGAGTATCTTCATTGTTTAACAGCAGCGAAGCCGATAATGCTGTCTAGACGAAAATAAATAAATTTGCATAAATGAATGCAGAAAAAGACTCAATATTAAAATTGTAATTCTGACAAGAGAAAAATTATTTCCTCATCACTTAAACTTTGAAATGTAATGATAGGTATGTAGATTGACCGTGGTCATCTTAAATAAATTAAATGGTTCTACTTAATTTGAACAATTTTAAACACTAAGCCAAAGGTCTTACTTATGCGCAAACGATATGGGTATGTTATTTATTTATTTATTTATTTCTAATGGCAGGCTTAATGTTATTATCATTAGCCATTAATCTTTGACTTCAGCTACCCCCAATAGGAGGGGGGGGGGTAAATTCATAGCAGTTAATTAATAGCAATTCATTAGCTGTCTTCTTGCTTCCCAGCATTTTTGGCTTTCCGCCCTTGTCTTTAGGGCTGGACACCGAATCAGGTGGGTCTTCTCCATTTCCTCATGTAGATTACATAGGGAGCATGTGAATCGAATGTATAATCCCAATCTGTGAAGGGGTTTTCCAAGTCAATCGTGTCCGACTCGTAGTCTAAACTCAGCAACGGCTTCGATTCTTGGCCAAGTAGTCTAAACTCAGCAACGGCTTCGATTCTTGGTAACCGTGTCACGGTACGTAGTCTAAACTCAGCAACGGCTTCGATTCTTGGCCAAAGTTAAACTCAGCAACGGCTTCGATTCTTGGCCAGTCGGCGCCAGTCGGGTATGTTGAGAGTGCCACTGTCCACTGTTTCTCCTTTGTTCGAGCTTCAGAGTGCCACTGTCCACTGTTCCTCCTTTGTTCGAGCTTTTTGTACGTTGCACCATGAGGTCTGGAATTCTCTTCTGATTTAGGCCTTCATTGTGTGAAAAGACATCGGCCGGTCCATGCATTGCAAAATCGTTGTCCCCTTCTTAGCAAGTGCGTCAGGAAGCTCATTGCCTTTAATGCCACAGTGACCAGGAATCAATTGTAGGACCACCGTTTTGTTTTTCTCTCTCAGCAGCTCATAGAGTTTTCTACATTCCTTTATCTCAGCTGTTTTGGGTGTCTCTCTGTTTCCAATAGAGTCTATTGCTGACTGTGTGTTCAAAAGTATCCCCGCTTTGGTGAAGTTCGTATCCACGTAACATAATCGGCATAGTGCTATCCTAATAGTCTCTATTTTTCCTTCAAAAGCGGATCTATTATGTCCCGCTGCTGCGTAGAAAGAGAAGAGTTCAGAATAGACACCTCCACCAACGTTTGCTTGGTTTTCTGTGTATGACCCATCAGTGAAGACTTGGAGCCATTGATCTGCAGGATAGTTGACATTGATTGTCTCAAGGGCCGGTGAGCGCATTTACTCTGAAGGAGTGTTTGATTTCCTGAAGAAGTCGACATACTACATCAATGTTTGCTAACGGGTTCATGGGGAGAGAGAGGCGTTTTGGTTTATCATCGATTTGTAATGCTTTATTCAATTCTATGGCTTTCTGTATTAGACAAGATTACGTTTTCAGATGTCTTGGTCAATTCTCATAGGTGCTGAAGAACGTGTCCATGGGAATGCGCAGTAGCTTCTCATACAGGATCAATGCCTTTACTTTGATAAAAGAACCTATTGTGGTGCTTCCTGTAACTAGGAGCACTGCATCAATGGGTGTTGATTTTATCTCTCCAGTAATTAGTCGTAATGCTTGGTTGTATGCATTCTCGAGGTGATTGAGAGTCACCTGTGTGGCTGTAATGAGTGGCTCACAGCAATAAAGGACATTCAGTCTATTGGGGACGCGTTCTGCTATTTTAGCAATGTAACTTTTCCACGTTAGCTTTGTATCAAACGTCATTCCGAGATAAGTGAACTCATTGGTTTTTACTATGGTAGTATTCTTGTACCTTAGAAGCGGGTTTATGCTGTGATGGGCCAAAGAAAAAGTTTGGAATGCAGTTTTTGCGGTGTTAATTACCAATCCATTGTTAGCGCACCAGGTAGCCAGTAGTTTAAGTGCACTATTAAGAGCACTTTCTGTCCTCTCCTGAGCGTTTTTCTTAGGGAAGGAATACCATAGTACCAGATCATCTGCGCAAAGTAAGCAATTGATGCCCGTGACTGTCTGTAACAATTCGGC